CAGAGTCGGTGCTGGGAGGCCACAGAACTGAGCAGTCGAGGCTCCCGTCCGCTCGAACCTATTGGCTCATACTTATCGGCCGTGTTGTGACGTGGTTATCATTCAGAGCTGACCCCGCATCCATGTCGATATCGACCACAGAAAGAGTGGCTTCGTATGAATGACAGCCAATCATCGATGCATTGAATTATGATGAGGCCGTGAGATAGCTTTATTTGAATTTACAAAACCAATTATCTTAGGCAGCTAAGCCAGGTCCCGTCCGGCCCAACCGCGACGTCACAATACGTAGATATTGATGTCTCCGGTGACACGTACATTGGGCAAGTTTATTTAGTAATTATAGCACCAAAACTACATAATTTCACAATGCTGTGCTGTCTGCATGGATAGACCCTGCATGTGAACTGCTTGATCCGAGGGGCTGTTTTTCCGACGTTGCATTGACACCACGGGTTTACCTCTCAATTTGGCCAACGTCGAAAAAGCCAAAGTTTTCACGCGCGAAATGGCTGAGAAAACATCAGTTGGAACCGGTTCCAGAAATCGATAGCGCGGCGTCGCAGCGGCGCTAGACTCATACCAACGACGAAGAAAACGGATCATCGTACTGGTAAAAGTGTGGGTTCGTGAGCGGTGACCAGCATGCGCTGTCGTACGCAGACCATAGGAAGCAGGCGTAGAATTAACTGTTATAGGTCTGAGAATACACCAGCTTCAACTACATGTGTAGGTCTGACAAGTGTGCAACGTATGAGCGTACCCATAGTCGGTCGGCAAGCTGCCAACGACACCGTTTTCACAACACATGTCAGACGCAATGCTCTGTGGCCTAAGCCGTGAACGCTTAGGCTATACAAACTGTGCAGACGTATGGTGCTGCCCATTGTGCCCAAAATCCGCCGAAAATGTTGTTTTGAGTTTGAGGTTTTTGTAACCCATTGTATGCAGTTGTGATTTTCAAGCAATGCTATTTGCGAAAAGTAAGCAAATGGTCTAGCAATCAATGAGCCCCCGGCCCTTAAATTTTAATGAAACCCGATTTCCCAAACATTGATGAAATCCGCTACTACCGGGTGCTAGGTGTGATGGCTACGTTATCTTGCCTTTGTCGTCATCTCGATCAGACGGAAGTAATTGTCTTATTCCTCGGCGAAAAAGTTTTCACAGGACACTAGAATTCAGAGGATTTTTTATTTCCTTCTTTAATCCCCTGAACGTTGGTGTTCTGTAGAAAAACCGTGACTCGTTGTTTAAAAAAAAAAACTTGAAAAATCGAGCAGGTTCAATGGCAGAAATTTTTGATTTACCACTGTTATGTGTTTCGATGACGGAATGCTGCTGAAATGTCAACGGATCTATATCTTCATTCCTCTGTCTTTTTCAAGGAATAAGACTATCACTACTGACTTACCTATGTGCGCAATGCTCCTCACAAATGATGTCTGTTATCGCCCCATCGGTGCCACGCCCCCATAGGCCTATGAACTCTTATAGTTGGAAGCGCTATGACATCACATCCTGAGCCGGTTTATAGCCAACCTAACCCGGCAGCAAACGTTGTATTCATATTTGCATTCGTCTTCCAGAGGACTCAGACTCAAGGCCTTGTCATTTCCGCAATGGAATTGTTTTTGGTGCCTTGCAAGGTAGTACTAGATAAACATGATACAGATCATGGGTGAAGACACCGGCTCTCTTGAAGGGGGACGAATGACGACCAAAACCTAAGAATTAATTGTGTATTGCTGTGGTTTATTATGTAGTTTTGTGCCGCTCACGTGCACGAGCCTGTCGGATGACTGCGGACAAACGCGTGTCAGATCCACGCCAAGAATACAAAACTCGGTGCAGCTTGAAGATCTGTCTCGTGCGACAATGAGACCTATCCCACCATCAGACGTGTACAATTGCACGAGTGCTATTGAATGTGCAGGCAACATGCCCCCGTGCCGTGGCCTGGCGGTATGGCCTGGTGTAGCACGCATCCTTCTGTGTCCACGGCGCTACCTCGCCAGAAGGGTGCGCTGGCAAGCGTTCGGTCTCACAGGCCCATTCCCATCAAGAAAAATGTCTGTCGGATGAAAAAATCCAATCACACTTCTGTGGATGATGGCGTGATTTATCAGCGTGCCTGGTGGCGTTCTCAGCCGCACCGGTCACTGCGAAAGCTTTTCATTTTTTGAAAGCTCGAGTTTTCGTCACTAAGGAAAAACGGCAGATTGGGCACTCGATCCTGCTTTTAAAAGCCAGCCGAAATAACCAGCCGGTTATCTGATGTTTGTGAAAGGCGGCTGCGACGCCGCTCCCACCGGAGCCCGCACAGATCGGTTCAGCTATAGGCCGAGCGGTTGTAGGCCTTCCGCCGACTCCGGTCTGACCACGCTTCCCCGAACGCCCCCGCGCGGACTGTTCTGCTCGGCAGGAGTTGCCATAAACGCCGAATGACGCGCACTGAAGCCGTGGCGGTCCCAGCCCTGGGCTGGTGCACTCACAGGCCGGCTGGAAAAACACGCTCGCAACGAATAACAGGTGCTAACTTTTGTATCGCGTTCAGTCCCGCCGAGTGAATGCCTGGGGCTTCTTGGATATTGTGTTGATTCAGATCAGGTCGGAAAACAAGGCGGTATTCACCAAGGGCCAAGGAGGGCATCCATTCTACGCACCAGAAATGTTCCTACGACGAAGAGTTTTACCTCCCACATAGGTGCAAAAGTTGGCTTTACAATGTCAATATATATATATATATATATATATATATATATATATATATATATATATATATCTATATATATATATATATACGCCCCATAATACGCCCCATATATATATAACGCCCCAGACTGGCAGCGACGGGTTAAGCGTCATCGATGTGAATGGTTCTTTAAGCGATGGTTGCATTACATTAAATCATATTTCGACTCCACTAATACCGTCAAACTGCCACTCAGAGGTTCTGAGCTGCAGGATAGATGTATTCAATCGACGTGCGCATGCTGGGTCCCCTTAGTGAGTGGAGTCACGGCGTAGTTTCAGTTCGACACCAATATACATATCTTAAAAAGAATACGCAAGGCTTCACAGTGAAAGGAGAAACCAGATCTTGCGGGTCAACTAGCTGAACATCATTCCAAACTATATTTGAGTTGCTTCCATGTTCAAATAGCTTTCACATTAGACTTACTTTATGTTCATACCATCCATCGATGTATTCATGATAACCCACGCAGCCTTGTCAAGCTCTACCACCGGAACTAATCAGGAATGCTTCTTCCACAGTATCGCCTAACGCTTTTAGTGGTGGGGTTCGTTGAACATTTGGAAAGCTTGCAGGCAAACTTTTTTCAAAACAACCAGCACAGCTTTCTTCCCCGTGATTTACACCAGGGATAGATGGACGGAAATTATTATTAGACTCCACCTTGGCAAGTCGAATGCACGGTTGACGGTATTGTTATATCCAATCTTTCCGCGTAGTCGATACTGACATGCATCAATTCAGGTGGCCTCTAAATTCTGGCAAACTTGTCACACCAGCATGCCAGGTATGACATACGCAAGATCTCGCATAAGTCGTGCACACAGTCATGCGCAACTAGCATATAGATAGTTTCTCAAAGTACTGAACGATTGCATTGCCCTTTTCATCATTGCAATGACCATTCAGACAAACCTGGACAAACCAAAGCTCTTCATACAACCGTGTTATTAGGATTGAAATGGAGTGACGTAGACAAGGCTTGATGGGTATCAAACCGTGATGCCGGACCGAGATTCATGCGCATCCGCATGCTACGGCAGGGCACTTGATGATCTTATTGGACGAATAAAGATGCTAATGAAGTTGAAACGGGCGGCCAATCTCAATACACGCAGAGACACCACGATCCATTTTTGTTTTGAACTCCTTTGCTTATGTGATGCATATACATATATATATATATATATATATGCGTACAGGCATGTTTGACGAAAAACGATCGCTGACTACGCCTTGACAAGTTTTTTGATGTGTTGCTCGAGGTTCCAGGGTTTTGAATTTGCAGTGTCGTTTGACTTATTATGAAACTATAATAGCAAGCCAAACTAACGATGTTACTTGATGCTACTCACTTTGAATAATTATCCCGGGTTTTTACTTAGCAGTATCGCTTAAGATTCCAGGCTTTTGACTCAGCTTTCGATGAAGTCAAAAGCCCGGAACCTCGAACGATACATCAAAAAGCTTGTCTATGCGGAATCAGCGGTCGTTCGTTAACCAAACATGCATAAAGGAAACTATTCGGCCAAGGTATACCGATATATATATATATATATAATCAGTGGTCAAATTAAGTACTTATTGCAGACAGGTACATGCACCCAATCGTCCGCACTGGTCCTACGGTCTGGCTGTTACCTGTGGGTTAGTAACGCTCACTTGCGGCTTAAAGCCGTTTTCAGTACAGAATGCACGGCTTTCGGCTGTGACAGTGTGGAGCAGACAATTTTTCATAGGCCGAAGTGAGCGATGTTGCCATTACTTCAGTAAACTAAAGGTCAATCGACCTGTAAATTTAATGAGGTTCAGCTGCATACAGCACTGCATATGCAAGGCACTGCATGCTGTATACCACAGCAGCACACGACATGATGAAAATAAAGAAGCCCTTCCACAACTTAGGGAAAATCTGGTCTTTACGGACATTATCTGATTGTGATTGGCTGTTCCGCCATGACCCCGAGAGGCAGTTGTCGTGTCAGTATCAAGCTTGAAATTCAAACCCGGCGCTCTTGATCAGAAGTGTGCCGCGCTGATGAATGCGGCGGTTACGTCCCCTGCGTTATTACTTAAGTCACATGCGTCATCCATCTCACGCATTTGAGGAAGCTTTTTCCAGAAAGCGCTGACGTAGAGCAATGACCCACGGATAGATAATAAGCCATGATAAGACTGGATATTTTTCACACAATGCCAGGCGCATCAGCCACGCCAAGCACATCAAACGGGGCCGGCCTACCTTGAAGAGCCGCAGGATTTTGGCCACGTTGATGCTGACCCCGCTGAACGCCGCTCCGATGACGCCGGAGACTGGCTTCGGCTTCGTGGCGTTTGTCTCGCACACTGAGTACGAGCCGGAGCCCTGACAACGGACAAAGCTCGTCAACAGCCGCACCAAACGGTGTACACGCAGACCGAACCTGTGCGCTGTGACCACCACGCACGGACGGAACATGATGCCGCGGGCGGTTCGTAGCAAGCTGCAGCCTTCTTTGGGACAAAAAAAAAAAACATTATGGCACGATCCCCACAGTCTCCGCGATCTGGCTATGCAAGCCAAATGTGCAACTGCCCCGGGCAGTTGGGGTGCACAACGGACAGCCCGGTAAGCTTTGTATGATGTCAAACATAGAAACACTTGACGGTAGTTCAGTCATCATTACTAGCTTGCGAGTTGTCCTGTAAGCACGACATCTGCGCCCAAGGCCGCCACCTAATGCTGGATTTCTAAAGTGGGAGTGAATGTACGAGCCTGGTCATTAATATGTCAACGGCTGACTTGGTTTCAATGTCACCTTGAGCGAGCGCCCGAAGTTTGCCTTGCACGTGATTAATGAGAACATGGGCCCGAAAAACAAACCACTCCGTCAGACGTACGGAGGGAGGCTGCCTTCATCACACTCAGATCCGAACTATTGAGCGAGGTCCGTTTGGTCAACACCAGACATCGTGTTGTTGCGTTAGAAGAAGACATTTTCGGGACGACGAGTGCCAGCGTCAGCAACGGGACACCCCTGACTTCATCAACATGTCCCGAACTTCACTGATCCCTTAGCCGTCGGTGAACTTTATCAGGGTTAAATCGGTCTCCTTTCCAGCGGTTTCCTTAAGCACAGCTGATATATGCAAGTATTGTTTTTAATGTCCTCCCGCTTTCAAAAAGCAGTCCTGCATTTCATTGGTTATCACTTTCCTTGTCACCTTTTGGTCCCGTACAGAGGAACTCAAACGACTGCAGTTGCGATCTTTACATCCTTAGTTAATCTGTGGGTCACCATTCGTAGCTGCGCCTCCTCTCACTGGCATGAGAGGAGGCACAGATGTTTCACGGGCATGTTGTAATTGCAAGCCATGCATGAATTACTCATCAGAGTGAATTTCGCTGCGATGGACATCCGGTGGATACCGGACATAGCACCGCTTGAAGTGGGCAGTGTCTGGTAGTCATAATTGATGCCTGTCAATTCTATCATAATGTGGGTATTGCCGAGTCTCATCTCATTTCTTATGATGCGGTGGCCGACGGGCAGCCCATCTCTCTATCCTGATGAGACGGTGCGTGGAATGGACGCCATCCCTTCTAGCCCAGTCCCTCCTAGGTCATGCAGCACTAATCGGGCGCTCAAGGTCCCCCCGCTCCTGTCAGGCCTTATCTACTCCTGCCAGGTCCCCGCTGTCCCTGTCAGGTCCTCCCTTATTCTGTCAGGTCCTCGCTGTTCCTGCCAGGTCCTCCCTGCTCCTCTCAGGTCCTTTGGGCTCATGTAAGGTGCTTTAGGCTCATGTCAGGTCCTCTACGTTCCTGTCAGGTTCTTCCTCCTTTTGTCAGGTCCTCTCCGCACATTCCAGGTCCTTTCTGCCAATGTTGCAGCCTCCCTGCCCATGTAACGGTGTCCGGTGTCGCCGTTCTCCTGACGACCAGCGACCATGGCCGCGCGCCCGTCATCCGTACGATCGTCGGTTCCGGTTCATTGGCTCCGGCCGTGCCCTGGCCCGGCCGGCCGCCTGCTGGGTCATCAGAAGGGCCAGGGCACGGCTAGCCGCCTTCTGGGCTATTAGCAGGGCCAGAGCATGGCCGGCCGCCTGCTGGGTCATCAGAAGAGCCAGGGCGCAGCCGGCCACCCGCTGGGTCATCGGTTCCGGACGGGCCAGGACACGGCCGGCCGCCTGCTGGGTTATCGGTTCCGGACGGGCCAGGACACGGCCGGCCGCCTGCTGGGTCATCGGTTCCGGACGGGCCAGGACACGGCCGGCCGCCTGCTGGGTCATCGGTTCCGGACGGGCCAGGACACGGCCGGCCGCCTGCTGGGTCACCGGTTCCGCCCGGCCCAGGACACGTGCCGGCCGCCTGCTGGGTGATCAGAATGCGAGCCGGCCCGTCTTCCCCCCGCCGACGACAAATGGAGACGTCGCCGTGTGGACCACGCGACGCGAATAGCATGAGGAGGAAGGGATGGCGCCGGCGAGCAACGACTACCGTTTCAGTAGCCCACCACACTCCATTGGTGGCTGATAAAGGCAGCCCACTGCGAGCGTGGCCTATGCTACGATGGCGAATCTGTCCCTCCTCTGACAAAACTGACAACTTGGAAACGGTCAGTTTGAATGTAGCACACGCACGGAAAGGACAGTGCATACGTCAGCGATGTGTAGTTTCCGAGCAACGGGATTTCTTTCGCGCTCAGTGCGTTATGCTGGTTAGTTGCTTAGTAAAAGGAATGAAAACTTCTGCTGCATTACCTTACGAAGCCAAACACCCAGCGGTCTTTAAGCGTTTGATTTTCAGAACCCGGTCGAATCCGGTCGGAGAAATTGGGATCCGATCCAGTCGCAGTCCGTTTTTTTCCAAAACGCTTGAATCTGATGTAGTTCAGTTAGGTTGAGCATGTAATTTTTCTCGGTATTGGCCAAATCAATCCGCTCTTTCACTTCCGTCTTACGTACCACAAAACCTGAACTATAGGATAAAGAGCATATTCGATTCACACGTAATTTATACTTCATTGAAAGAATCAACTGGTTGAAGAGTCAGTTTTTCATATTAGCCATTGGGCTGAACGAAGGCATTGCATAGATGGCTCAACGTCTATAAACTATGAAGTTAAACGTGATTGGAGCGGCGGATTGACAAAGGAACGCAGCGAATTCAGGACTCAACAGATTTAAGGTACGAGCACACTTTTAGCTTGTAATAATCAGGCTAAGAACAACAATATCACATCAATCTCAGTTTATCCAGTTATAAGCCTGAACTACACAGCAAGATGGTGCCATCTTTACTAAGCTGTTCTACCATTTCCAACTGCTTATAACATATAGATGAACTAACACTGCTTATAACATATACATTTAGTCACATACACACACTGGTCACAAAATTGGCAAACAACGGGCCGTGCGCTCCGTTGCGCAAATGTGCATAAATGGCACTTTTAAAACGCGCTTGAGAGGGGGGTCAATTTGATCTCCCAAAAGATTTTCCGGTATGTTTTTTCAACGGCGCGGCGTAACCATGCCAAATTTTGCCTGCCTGTAAAAGATTGAACTGCAAACCGTTTGGTATCAGAAGTTTAGATGTACCATGTAAGGTCGATGACATACCGCAGGTGTAATCCAGCCCATAGACTCAGCGAAGCCGATTTCTACCTAAACGTGCGATCTGATGCAACAATAGACATATAGACATATATTAGACAAGCCCATAAATATCTGGGATAGTTTCCTAGGCAACACAACGATTGAATAAACAAATTCCGTCGACCTAATGCCAGGCATGAAAATAAGGCCCAGGTAAAAACCAACCTGTTCTTACTCTAGCGCTTGCTGAGTGGGATAGTTTCTGGTACTCATTTACAATTTATTGATAACAGAAGCTGGATTATAAATCTTTAATTAACTTCTTTAAGGTTAGAATAGGTCACTTGCCTAAAATGACCCAGGTCGACATCTTGTTTTTAGGAACATACTGCCTGACCATCTTGATTTTGACCTTGTTTCGCCTTATTTGACCCGAAATTTATCACCTACAATCCCGAAGATTTGACCCAAATGAATTGGTGTTCAGGCTAACACACCCTGTGAATTTGGTGTATTTAGCTCTCTTAGTTTTTAGATCTCAGGGGTGTCAAATTGATACTTATCCGAGGGACCGGTATTCAACCAGCCACCCGGCATGCGTGTGTTTCGTTAGGTGCATGAGCCGGGTCTGACCCAGCATATTTCGTGGATGAACATCTGCTAACTATCAGTTATGACGCTAGTCGATATACATGCCTACAATCTAAGCATATTTCTACATTTACACAGCTATAATCAACGATTATTTTATCTTAATGCCATTAAATATTGCCGGTTTGATTTTCTTTTCAGCGACAACGCTGTTCAATTCAGCTCCTAAGGTCCCAAAATCGGCCTTACCGGATCCTCAAGGTGTGTAAGATCACATACCCGCCCATTTTTACAACCTGGACGGCAGCCAGCAGACGGCGGCCGGTAACCGGAGACGTTGACCAAATACTTAATACCACTAAGGTGAACACAACTGCAAAACTCAAAAGTAAAACGAGGAATAGGTGTTCATTTTGAACATGATAGTGCCTGAGAAATTTCTCTAATCGTGTAAGGTTCAGTTTTTATCTTGCACCCAAGAAAAAGCGCGTTAACGAAGTTTCCAGGGGCGCCAGAGGCATTAGAAGCGGCGTCACGGCGTTACCATTACCCAAATATTAAATCAATTGATTATCTATGTTAGTTACAGAGGCGCTTTTGGCGCACCCCACGAACTTTTAAAAACAAGCAGATTGAAGTGCAAAGCCTGGCCCTGTCCACAGATAATGCTGACCGGATTACTTTTGACTTCTACGTACTCTACGTGTGCTGGAAGTCGAACTCATGCTGCTGGCACACGCACACGCGCGCGCGCGCGCGCACGTACACACACACACACACACACACACACACACACACACACACACACACACACACACACACACACACACACACACACACACACACACACACACACACACACACACACACACACACACACACACACACACACACAGCATTCACAGCATTCTTCGAAAGATAACAATCTACATCCTCGGGATGTAGATTGTTACCGGCGGGAGTCCCCTCAAGTCACCTGATCTCTGGTATGGCTTGTCGAACCCTCCGGACAATCAAAGGCATTCACCAGCAATCACGCCAACAAAGTTGTGCCATTGCGGCATCCGGTACCCTCCACCCTGCCTCTCTTGAGTCCTTGATCCAATGCAATCTTGCTACACCTGCCGTCGGCAGATTGGTCAATTGTGACGTAAGCCGCCACGCCTCTGCAAAGTTGAAAGGTCACCGAGAGAGGGC